ATTGGGGGGGGCCTGGATGCTGCGGGGCGGGAGCGGGCGGGCCGTGCCCGCTCCTGCTGCTTCCACAGCCAGAGGCTCTGGGCCTAGGGGTGGGTCCCATCCCTCTGACCTGCTGAGCCAGACGTGGACAGACGTGCCCCCTCCGTGCCTGGACACCTATGGGGTGTGGGTGTGTTGGTTTGCATGGACAGTGGGGTAAGCCAGAGGAATTCTGGGCTGGAGGCAGGGCCATAGAGAAAATGAGGGGGGTCACCAGCCATCATCCCCGGGGGTGAGTGGAGGGAGGGCAGGCAGCTCTGCCCCCACAGGGCTGCCCTCATCCTCCAGGGCTGGGGAGAAGTGGAGACCGAAGCACCCCTGAAGGTGCCTGCAGGCTACACCCCTCTCTAAGCCCGTGGGCCCAGCCAGCCTGGCTCAGTGGTTGAGTGTTGACCTATGAACCAGGAGGTCAGAGTTCGATCCTCGGTCAGGGCACAGGCCCAGGTTGCGGGCTCCATCCCCAGTGTGGGGCGTGCAGGAGGCAGCCCGTCCATGATTCTCATGATTGATGTTTCTCTCCCTCTCCCCTTTCTCTCTGAAATAAAACTATATATTTTTTAAAAAGCCAATGGGACAGCCTCCAAGGCCACCCATGAGAGGCACGTGGGGGGCACGGCAGGCATGGCATGCTGAAGGGGCCCAGCTGCCAAGTGTTCTCTGGCTTGGAGTTAAGCTGGCACCAGGGAGGCTGGTGACCCTGCCAAACAGAACCAGCAGCAGCGAACGTCCTCACTGCCCTTGAGGTGGAGGCGGGCACTCACCCCGGGCAGCAGCCAGCCGCTGTCCTCCCTGGCGCTGGGTGGGCAGCGGGCGCGTGGCACTGGCAGTGCTGCCCCCTCTATGCTGGGCGCTGGGAGGAGGCCACCAGGCACAGGGAAGGCCTTCCCATGGTGCCATGCTCCTTCCTAGCCACGTCCCACTCTAAAGCACCCTGCCCCCGCCCACACGTGTTCTGAGCTGCCCTGCTCAGCAAACTTGCAGGTTTCCCCACACTGTTAAGTGAGCGGCCCCCGGCCCACTACCTTCTGCCCGGCTAGCAGGCTCCTGGCCCCGAGCCCAGGCTGGCTGCACCTGTGACGTGCGGATTGATGAGCATCACCTGCCCGTCCAAACACCAAGGGGGCCTGGAGTGCCGATCGTGGAGGTCGGGCACGAGCAAAGGGCTATGGTTGGCTCAGACCCGAGGGGGACGGAGGGGCCCCCCTGCTCCCGGCCGGAAGCCTGGCAGCCAGTGGTCTGTGCCAAATCTGGAGGCAGTGTCACCTTCCTAAGGACAGATCACGTTCCCAGACGTGAGGGGGCAGGGGCTTCAGGCTGTGCAAGGCGCTGCTCAGAGGCAGCACAGCCGTGATGGGGTGCACGTGCAGGGTAGGAGGGCGGCCCTGAGATGGTTGCCAAGTAGTGCACTCCACCTGCTGGATCACTTGGGGGAGGTCCGAGAACCTTCCTTCCAGAACCAAGCTCAGCAGCCTCAGGTGCCCTCGGCCAGCACAGCGGCCACACCTGGGCGTGGGAGCTGGTGCGAGCCATGCTGGTGACAGCCTGTCTCAGGGAGGGGCCTGCCCACCAGCCCTGGTGCCTATATGCCTGTTCCGGGAGCAGTCACCGTGTGTGCTGACGGTGCACGAAGGCTGCCACCGAACCCAGAGGGCAGGTCGCTCAGGCCAGCAGCGTGTCCCTCTGGCCTGTTCCCTGCAGCTGAGGGGCTCCAGGGCTGCCCCCTTCCCCTGCTGCCTGGCCACACGCACCTGTCCCAGCACGCAGGCCCAGGAGTGACACCTGGGTGACGGTCAGGAAGGGCACCCAGGGAGGCCAGGCTCCCCTCTTCCTCCCCCACCTCCCACCTGCTGGGAGCAGAGCCCTGGAGCCTGGTGGGGCAGGGGTCCCTACCCTCCAGTGGTGCCTGCCTGACACGGCTTGTGAACTGGCCCTGCGGACAGGGAAAGCGCGCTGCAGGGATGTGGGAGCACCAAGGGGGAGGCGGGCCAGCAGCCGGCCGAGTTCACTCCGCCAACCTCCGCTGTGGGGCCTGGTAGCAGAGAGGGTTGTGCTCACACACGAGGGCAGGTGGACGCAGGGGGCTGGGCCCTCCCTGTGCAGGAGGTGGTGGCTGAGCTGCCTGAGCTCTTACTCTTTGGACAATAGAAGAAAGAGCATTATTGAACAAAGGGCGACTCAAAACCAGAAGCAGAGAATCACGCTTTTTCTTTCGCTAAAAGACACAGAACAAGTGGATTCCGATGCCAGGCTGAGTGAGGATGCTGGTGAGAAGCTAGCTGGGCAGGCGCAGGCCCTGGGCGGCGAGGTCCACCTGCAGCCTCCATCTGGCCGCAGGGACCACAGGCCAGGGCTGCTGGGAGGGCGACCGACGGTCTGTGCAGGTGGCTGTGCTCTGGGCGGCTACTCTGCCCCTCCTGCCCCCAGACCAGCCCTCTGCCCCGGCCGGACCCCTGATCAGCCCCCGCCGACGAGCAGACGAGTCTGTGCGGTGCACCTGGAGGTGCCAGACAGGGCTGTTCCCACTGCAGCCAACATCAAGCGCCTTCCTTGCACTGGGAGGTGGGGAGGGCCCCCAGGCCAGCCCCCCAGGGCAGATGTGGGGTTCCTAAGCAGCTGTGCCTGGGCTGGCCTCCCCAGTGGGTGCAGAGCAGCTCAGAGTCAGCAGCTCTTATTAAGGCAAAGAGGCATCAGTGCCCGCAGGATCCTGGGCAGGGCCCGGCCACAGCCCAGCCAGAGGATGTGCGGGGACCCCAGAGCACACGTGGGATGGCCAGACCTTGCACCACTGGCAGCCTTCCAGTGCCCTTGGCCGCCGACCCACGTGGTTTCACAACAGGCCAGGCCCCTCCCTCCCCCAGGCCTGTCTCAATGGCCACATCACTGTGTCAGAGGCCAGAGCCGGGCGAGGGCCCAGGAAGGAACTGTATGGGGGCAAAGGGACCAGAGCTTCCAGTCCTGGGCCACCTGGTCAGCTGTCTCACTGATGCCCAGCTGTGCCCTGCTCAGAGGGCCGGGCCTCTGCTGCCGCAGCCGGGCACCCAGCACAAGTCTCAGGCACTGAGGTTCACTTCCAAGGAGAACCGACGGTGGGTCGGTCCCCTTCTGCACTCACCACCCTGCACACTCCCACAGGGACTCCCTGGAGGGAAGGAAGTGGAAACTAGTCTCTCTCACTCCCCTTTTATGCAGTTTTTATCTTTAAAAAAATAAATAAAAGTCTTCTGGGCAGGAATTACTGATAACTGTTATTACGACCAATGCCAACTTTAAATCCCACCTGGAGGTCGGGTGAGAGCGGGAGAAGGGGTGGGCAGCAAAGTGACCTGCGGACCAAGCAGAAGGGAGGCCGCGAGCCCGTGGCCACTTGCGTTTCCACCAGACAATGGCTCCCGGGTGGGGGAGAAGTGGCCCCCACAGCAGGGTCTGCCCAGAGAACAGGCTGACAGAGGCCAGCAAGAGCCCAGCCAGGGCGGGGGGGGGGCAAGAGCAAACAGCGTCCAGAGGACGGGGGAGGCTGGCAGCAAGCACGCCCTCCCCTGCAGGCGGCGCTGTCGGGGCGCCAGTCCTCCCACCGAGAGGCGTCCGCGGCACCTGCCCCTCTGCTGGGAGGGGCTCCATCTTCCAGGAAAGCTGGTGCCGAGAGGCTTCGTGGGGGAGACCCTGGGGCAGCCCCCCGCCCTCCATGAAGAGTGGCCGTCTCCACGTCCAGCTTCAGAGCGGGCAGGGGCCCAGTCCTGCCAGCAGGGCCGAAGCCCTAGGTCCGGGGGAGGCTGCACATCTCGCAGTGGCCGGTGCCCGGCTGGTTCATGAAGGTGCAGTGCTCACAGGCCCACATGGCGGCCGCAGCGGCATGCGAGGAGCCCCCGACGGCTCCGTACTCCTGGAGGCCCGGAAGCTGCACCCCAACAGTGCCTGCAGAGGGGAGAAGCGGCTTGTCATTCTCACAGGGAGGACGTCCCACCAGCTAAGCTCAACCTCACTGCCCATCGGAGTCCACGTGGACGCCGAGCAGCTGCTCCGGAGTCTGGAAAGCTGAGCAGCTCACCACGCGCACTCACAGCCCGAGAGCGTGCGCCCAGCGCCCGGTGGCCGCCACACGGTCAGCACGTGTCTGTGGCCAGGCTGCCGGGGCCTCGGGAGCTGGGAGCGCTGGTCCCGGGAGCCCGAGGGGTGTCCTGGGATGAAGAGAGGGAGCACTTACTGCAGAGCTGCTCAATGGTAGCCCACTGCTCCGACTTCTTCCAGGTCTGGGCGAGCTCCTCGTTCCGGGTCCGCACGGCCTCCAGCAGCAAGCTGATGCTGTCCTGCAAAGCCAACAGGAGGGAACATGCGCGGCCTGCGGTGGACGGCTCCTACCTGTCGGCTTCTCCCCAGCATCACACACTTGGGAGGGGATGCGGAACCCTCACAGGCCGTCACTTTGAAACGCACGGCCACACACTCCCGTGCAGCACCAGTGCCAAACTGAGCCAGCACTTACATTCCTCCCATGCGCCGTGCCGCCACTGAACCATCTGTCAGCACCCAGATGACAGGCTCCTGGGCTGAGTTGGATGGGCAGGAGTCAAGGTCCTGCGTCCACGCCCCTCCTCAGGTCCCTTACCTTCTCAATCCCGCCTTCCAATACACACCACAGCCCAGGCCCCCAGGGCCAAAGGGCAGAGAATCAAACTGCTTTACAGGAGAGAGGGGGCGCAGTCCCTGCAGAAAGTGATGCCTGGCAGTGACGCCGACGGTCCCTGCTGCCCCGCAGGAGCTCTGACGGGGAGAGCCCGGCCCGGCCCGGCCCCACCCCTCCCACCGGACGGCGGCAGCTGATCCTGGGCCCGGAGCTGCACCTCTCTGGGTGTCTTGGTGCCTGGTGTGAAATGGCAGACAAAGCCAGTAAAATACAAGAGCAGCCACAGGCCAGCCGACAGAAAAGCCTGGGCTCCTTGGGGGGCCCCTCTGCTGCATCCGTTTCCTGGGGGGATGCGCTGAGTCAGCATCAGAGGCCCCTTCTCTCGTGCTTCCTGGGGCCTCGGGCAGAAAGGCCACCCACACCGGGTGCCACGGGGGCTCCTGGCGGGACGCTGCCCGCACCCAGGCCCGCCCGCTGAGAGTGCCTGCGCCGGGCACTCGCCCTCTCCTTCCTCTGTGTCCCATAGGCGCCAACTGCAGCTGCACGGGGCCTGGGTGCCTGCCCACCCGCCCGCCGACGGCCAGAGCAGCCGGCTAGGGAGGGAAGACAGGGAAGGAGCGGCTGTGGTTCTGGAGCTGCCCGGACAGGGCTCAGCCGGGGACCGAGCTAACCGCCCTCCGTCCCTGTCCCCCCGTGGTTCGCTCACACCAAGCAGACTGGCCCCACCGAGACGCGTCTGCAGGCAGACGCCGAGGGTGAGTCACTCTCCATCAATAGCACAGGGGGCAGGGGACTGGCCGCCTCCTCCAGAGGAAGAGGAAGAGGGTGCCCTGTGCCCAGCCCCCGGCACACTCGCTCCCCACCTGCAGAGGCATGACTTCGTTGGTGACCAGGAAGAGCAGGAGGTGGAAATCCGAGATGGTGTCCAAGAACATGGCGGAGGTATTCTGCGACAGGTAGGTGGCCAAACTGTGGAAGTCCTGGACGGAGGGCGGAGGGGAGACATGAACACCCATCGTTCCGGCCCGAAAGCCCTCCCTCCTGAGGCCTCCTGAGGGCTTCCAGGCCGACGGACATCACTCTCCCCTGCCTGCCCACCGCCGGACCAGGACCCCGGCCCTACCCAAACGGGCAGCAGGCACTTTGAATCCGGCTTCGAGAGCCGAGCGCTCACCTGTGTTTCCCCCAACACGTCCCGGTTTTCTATAGGAAACGGGTTTTGTGAAATAGAAAAAGTGTAAACTGGATCCTTGGGGAAAGTTGTCGTGATCTAAGGAACAGAAAGACAAACCGCGTCAGTGAACTGTGCGGACGGTGCGGGCGGCCCTCCGGACAGAGCAGCCCGAGCCTCGAGCACTCACAGAGCCAGCGGCCTCCCTGCCCACAAGGACGGCACCACTGGGCCACTCTGAGCGGACTCCGAACCTGACCCTGGGAAGCGCTCAGAGCAGTTTCCAGAAGCTTCCAAGACGGCCCCGCCCCCAGGCAGCTGCTGTCTGCCGCCTCGATACAACGCAGCCCCCCTGGGTCAGCAGAGGGCGGCTTCCAGCCGACGGGCATCCCGCCCCCTCCCCCCCCACCCGTGCTCTCCGTGGCCCTGGACGACCTCAAGGTGAACCACGGGCACGGCCCGGAGGCCGAGGAGGCAGCTCAGGAGCAGACTCTGCTCTACCTCTGGGTCTGAGGCCCTGCAGAGCAGCCGAGGGTCGGAGAGCCGCGCGAGCCCTGAAGTCCATGGGCTGCTCCAGAGTCAGGGCGGGAAGGGAATCGGGGCCTGAGATGGGGCACAGCTCCCTGTTGTCCCCCCAGAACAGCTGGAGTCAAGAGCCTGTGTCCAAAGAGAGCCGCGCCCTCGTTCGGCTCAGACGTGCTCTGGTGATGACGAGGGCACGTGAGACCCAGGGTGGTGCCCACGAGAGCCGCGTGGCCATGCCTGCCCCTTCGGTGGCCACAGCGTTCCCTCCGCAGTTCAGCACCAGCGGCAGCAGCCTGCGGGCCAGGCTCAGGGCAGCTCTTCTGGGTCCTCGGGCTGTTTCTAAAAGGTCAGGAGGCGGGCAGCAATGGGCGGTGCTGTGCCTCGCTGACCAGACGGGCGGGTCACAGCGGAGGGCGTGGACCTGAGCCACTGGCCCGTCCCAGCGGTGTGGCTTGTGGGCCACACCACCTCAGCCTTTCTGCTCATCTGTAAGATGAGGCTGACCCGGCGCCTGCACCTAAGGCTGCTCAGAGGATTAAATGCTCAGACATGTCAAGCCCTCAGGATGGCCACACACATACACGGGACTCAGTTTTAGCCGCTGTCACGGTTCGAAAGACGAGGGCAGGGTGGCCCATGCTGCTGGGACAAAGCCCGTGGACAGCTCGGTCCCTCCCTTTGGGAAGCAGAGCGCCTGCTAGTGGGTGAGAGTGGAGCGAAGGGAAGGGCTTGTTTGACGTGCACTTGCCCTGGAGAGCCCGGGACTAATCAGGGTGCCCAGGGTGTGGGCACAGGCCCAGGCACCGGGTCCTCTGCTTCAATCCTCTCCCTCCCGGCCCTTCTCGGGGCCGACTGGCCGATGCGTGGGCCCCTCCGACAACCTCCACAGGAGCCTGGGACATTGGCCCAGTCACAAGGTTTCAGACACCAGATGGCCTCGTCAGGCCTGGACCTGGGGGGCGAGGAGCTGAGTACTTGTCTGGCCCCTGCTGCCCGGGAACTTCTTCCACAGGAACTGGGCGTCACAGGGACCGTGCTCCCTCCTCTACCAAACACAACCGGGACCATGCGCGAGGCAAGAACTCAGGGTGGGTGGGCAGGTGGGCGGCCTCTGGGGGGGGACCTTAGGAAGCTGCTTCACAGCGCCGACTCCGCCTGAGAGTGTATCCGCGACCTGTCTGCCTCTGCATCACACCCAGGTGGTCTGAACCCAGATGCCTGCGGCCTGAGTAATCGCTATGTTCTTGGGCGCTGTCGACTGGATGCAGCACCGACGGGTGAGCTCCTGGGCCCGCCCTCCAACACGAGGCCTGCCTCACATGCCGTCCCAAGCCCAGCACAGCCCACGGGGCCCAGCAGTCAGAGCATTGCCTGCTGCTGTCGCGCTATCGTCAGGTCAGTCACCGCCTTGGTCTGTGGCCTCATCTGTGACCTGAGCCTGAGGCCAGAGCAGAGCTGAGACCCTGGGCAGATGCACGGGAGCAGGTGCCCTCTCGGCTCCTGGAGCTCCATCCAGGAAACCCCACTGCCCCCCCTGGAGGCCATGACGGCTGGTCCCTGAGGACCGGCCGTGGCAGCAGCTGTGACCAGGGCAGCACCTGCATCCGCCATGTGTGGACTGGTTGGTGGTATTTTGTTGCACTTCAGTTTGGGAGAAGTTAACACCTAATTGTTTTTAAGGGGAAAAACTAAAAGAAAAAGCCCTTAAAATTGAGGGCTCCTCAGGGAAGCCAGGAGCCCTCCCGGGCCTTGGCCTGCGCCAGCCGCCTTCCCCCCCGCAGCCCTGGCTCCAGCGTGCTCCTGGGGCCTGGGGCACACACTTACATCTATGATCAGATACTCCACGGGCAGCGGGCGGGCCAGCTGGGTGATCTCGTTGCCAAACTTGTCTATGTCCTGAAAGGGAAACAATGGTGAGTGGAAGTTTGCTGACCAGCGACCTTTCTCCCCTCGTGAGCTGTCTCCCCTGGTAAACGGCGACAGTTCTTGCTGAGGTGTGTGAAAGCAGGAAGGAAAGTGAGCCTTTTCCTGCAGGGCCCGCCTTCCATCCCTAGGAGCTCTCTGTGCTGCCTCCACGGGACTCGCTGGGCAGAAGGATGCCAGGCCCGCCCCACGGCCGCCTCTTCTCCACAGGCTCCCACGTGGGGCTGAGCGCTCCGTCTCCACGCTCTCACACCTCAGAAACCCCACTTGATGGAACTGAATACTTACACGTCTCTAAGAAAATGCGCACATGAGCCACATGCACACAAGGACACAGACACGGAAACCCGCCGCCAATCTGTCAGAGTCCACACAGTTTTGCTTTGTCAGATGCGGAACATAAAGTTTAATTATGGGGGAAACGGCCAGCATATGGTCATTAATCATAAAATGACAATTAAACCTGATTTATGTCAAACATGCTGTGTTCAAACAGGGCCCTGGAAATGAAACTCCTGAGACCGAGGCTTCTCATGAGGGATTCTGCAGGGGGGCACCACTTTGCATGGTGTAGTCACTCACGGAGTCGTAGCGGTTACACCCGTGCTTCCCAGTGACGGGGGCTTACGTGAAACTCTCTGTCTTAACGCTCTTGGACCCGCCTGGGTGCGAGCACGGCCACCCCCGCCGCCCCGGACGCAGAGCCCTCGGTCAGACCAAGCCCTGGAGGGGAGGAGGGGGTGCCCTGCGCTGGTTTCCTCGGCAGCCAAGCTGGCCCAGCTCACCGGCTCCCACCGGCAGCCAGAGGAGGGAGCCTGCTGAGGCCCGGGGCTCCGGAGGCGGCAGTTTCTCGATGGAGGAGACCAGGAGGCAGGAGTCAAATCCAATCCAACCAAACCACCACTTCCAACAATGCGCGCTCGCCCTACAAGCCCTAACCTGCAGCGACTCACACGTAAGGCGCCCATCGGAACTCGTCTTCAGGTTGAATGAAGCTCCGACCGCAGAAGCAGTCGCAGCATCTGCTCGCTGTGACCCCTCCCGGGGCTCTTTTTAAAGCCGCTCTCTCTGGCTAGCTGTTCTCTCTCAAATTTCACTACCCAACCACACCTCTCTGCTCCCCCAGAAGACAGAGGTGCTGCAGGCCCCTCTTCCCTGGGGGAAGAGCAGGCAACGCCCCCACCCCGTCTCACAGGCAATCACTTCCACAAGCGTCAGCAATGCCAGTTCAGGAGCTGGAGGAGACGCCTTCGTTCGACGTCAGGCAGCTGCCAAAGTGTCAGCAGTTTTAGCTCCTCCTTGAGCAAGACACTAAGTCAAAGATCGTGGTTCCTCCTGCCTCCCTCCCCGCCACGGCCACATCTGGACCCAGCGCACCAGCACGGAGACAGCGGAGAAGCCCAGGGCCCCTGCCTGCATGAGCGTTAAGGCGCCGGGCCTGGTGCTGGGACAGCAGCAAACCCCGCCCATCGGGTACCACCTGCTCTGGAAAAGGCGGGTGAAACCCTGAATGCACTGTTCTTCCCTAAGAACAGCCAAGAGGCAGCACACGGTGTGAGCAGCTTCACCTGCGACCTCACAGGCTGCAGTGGGAAGAAGTTCTCACCAGGCTCCTCACGCCAACGCTGCAGCACGGCCGCTTCACGCGTTAAGCCTGACCCAGTGCCCCAGGACAGTGGCTTCCACGCCCGCCTTCAGGCTCCACCCTCCAGGGCTACAAACGCGCAGCTAACAACCCACGGAAACAGCGTGAGACCAAGGCAGGAGCACAGGCCTGCGGGCACCTGCCAGCAGCACACAGCGCGACCCGAGAAAGCACACTGCCCACCTGGCAGAATTAAACACCACCCACAGCCACCTCAGGGTAATGACGAAATCCCGACAGCACGTCCTGGACGGTGAAACAGGACAAGAGCATGGGCTCTGGTGCTGCCCCAGAAGCCTGGCTGCAGGAGGACAGGCGGGGGGTGGGGGGTACGGGGTGCGGTCCTGGAAACCCCAACAGGACCCTCATGGGAATTAAGGGACAGAAACAGCAAAGGTGCTCGATACAGAAGTGTACCAGCTTCCACAGCAGCGGTTTGGAAACTTGCTTTTAGAAGGGGTTCTTTAGAACATGTGGGAGTTACAATACGTACATGTAGAACCCCACAAGACACGGCTGTGCAGGTGTAACAAAGGTTACTACGCAGCTGACCTCAAGATCAGGAGATGGCCTGGGGTCACCTGGACGCCCAGTGGAACAACAGGAGCCCCTCAAGGCCCTGCTGGCCTGAGACAGATGTTCCTGCGGGCCAGGCTGGGAGCTGCCCGGGGGGAACCGGGAGCCAGTGCTCCCACCTCAGGTGAAACAGGCGAGACCCGCACCGCTGTGGCCGGGATGGCCTGGAGCAGGTGCATGGAGCGGTCAGGGGAGTCACACGTGTTGTGTGTCACAACCACCCAGCTGCAGCCGTGCTAGGGCAGCAACAGAAATTAACACAAGGGCCCCAAACGACACCATCCACCCACAGACCCAGCAGCTTAACAAACCCGACAGGACACGCGTGCCAGGGCCCGGGCACATCCCGATGAGACCGCAAAAACCCTGACACGGGAGGACGGCTCAGCAGCGGGAAGAGCCGCGCTATGGACAGAGGGACCCGCGGGGTGACAGCGACCTCCTGGGGAAACCTGTGGGTCAGGTGACTGTGGCGCAAACCTTCAGCCCTGTCTACCCAGTGAAACGGCCTTGAAAAATGAAGACAAAGTACTTTCAGACATAAAGGCAGCCCTGCTCTCCGAGAAAGACAAAGTCCTGCGGCCGCAGGCGGTGCCAGGTGAGCCCTAGGCGGCTCGGAGTTGGGGCAGGCAGCGACCTCGGTCACGACCAGGGACAAGTCCGAGCTGAGCATGAGATGGGGTCTCTGGTCCCACCAGGAAGCACAGGACTCGTCATGGTCGACGCGGACAGCGCTTCTCAATAAGAGCAGTTTTACAGCTTTCACGAGAAACCAAGACTTAGCAGGGACAGTCACTTGTCTAAAGCGCCAGCGGAAACCTCGGCAGCTTCTGCAGAGCCCGTCACCGACCTCAGCTCCGTCTTTACTCCTGGGGAGGCCCTGACACGCACGTTGCCTTGTTTTTAGAGACCGAGCTTGTTGTGTTGCTCGGTTTGATTTGGTGTCTAAACGCCAGATCCAGCGAAGCCACGTCCACTTCCGGTTACAGGCCCTACCGAGCCCGGAACGCCTTCATCCACAGCTGAGACTAAACCACTGCAGTGGACCAATGGCCCAGTGGCCAGAAAGCACCAGAACCAGGCGGGGCCCAGGCAGGCCAGGGTCCACACGGCCTCCGTCCACTGGAAGCCCACCGTGTGTTTACCTTATAAAACACATCAGGCACGTACTGCTCACTGCTGGACTCCTTGACGTAGCCGAGCTCGGGCGCGTCCTTGCAGGGCAGCAGGCAGTCGTCCCGCACCAGCGCCATGCACTGGTTGGACACCTGGTACCCTTCAAAGTGGACCTGGTTGTCCGGACCACCTGCAAGAGAGACCTTCCGTGAGCACCCACAGGACACGCAGACAAGCCCGCATCTGCTCCTCTTTAGACCAACAGAGCAGACAAGCCGACGGGAGCCTGTTGTAGCTAAGATTTCAAAAACATCCAACAGCATCTTTCCGAGTGGCTTGAGCACCAGGCCTTGAACACAGGGCATGGAGCCGCCACAGCCGCGCCTCAAGCAGCCCCACCCAGGGCACCCTCGCTCAGAATTCGGGAAACAAGACGGTAAACATTCTCCAATATCCGCCCAAACTCCGCTCAGAGTCAAGTCCTGGGCTACTGGTTTGGAGCCTGCCTGCCAGCAAGCTTTCGTTCCAGTGAGGGGGATGCCTCTGGAGGCAGGAGGTGGGAGTGGGCGAGAGGACAGGACAGAGCCATGGCAGTGAGAGCAACGACAGCACCTGCTTCACCCCACGCAGCCTCTGCCTTGGAGAAACCTGCTTGGCCACCGGCGCTGCAGCGTGGCCGCCCAGGGCGCCGCTCTCCCTGCACCTGCATGGCCCCCACACGTCACTTTATGTCCCTCGATCCCACCCGTAAACCTCCAGTGAAAGTTAGTGACGGCTGCAAGCCGAGTGTCAGAGCTGCTGCGTGGGGCGGGGGGGGGCTCGGGAGACCAAGAGGAACCCGTCATCCTGAAAACATGCCTTTGGCCACCGAGTCACTCCCTACAGAAACAGTAATTAAAGGGGCAGGTTGCCCCAGCCTCTGGGGGCCGAGAACAGCAGATGGGGGAGGGGTCTGGAAATCTGGAAGGTGCTGGTTGCTCAGCAGTGGGGAAGGGTGAGCGGCTGCAGCCAAATGTCCTAAAAGACGGCAGACATTGCTGGGTTCAGGCGAGTCCCACCCAACCAACAGCTATTCACAGCCAAATGGCCTTGAACGGACCCGCACACTCAGGTAGATAACAGCCATTTTGTTGTTAACCCTTACCCAAGGGTATTTTTCCATTGATTTTTAGAGAAAGTTGAAGGGAGGGGGGAAAGAGGGGGAGAGGGAGATGGGAAGAGAGAAAGAGAGAGAGAGAGAGAGAGAGAGAGAGAGAAAGAGAGAGAGAGAGAGAGATGTGAGAGAGATACAAAAGTGTACCAGCTTCCACAGCAGCGGTTTGGAAACTTGCTTTAAGAAGGGGTTCTTTAGAACATGCGTGAGTTACAATACGTACATGCAGAACCCCACAAGACACGGCTGTGCAGGTGTAACAAAGGTTACTACGCAGCTGACCTCAAGATCAGGAGATGACCTGGGGTCACCTGGACGCCCAGTGGAACAACAGGAGCCCCTCAAGGCCGTGCTGGCCTGAGACAGATGTTCCTGCGGGCCAGGCTGGGAGCTGCCCGGGGGGAACCGGGAGCCAGTGCTCCCACCTCAGGTGAAACAGGCGAGACCCGCACCCGCTGTGGCCGGGATGGTCTGGAGCAGGTGCACGGAGCGGTCAAGGGAGTTAATGAATTAGTTGCCACCCCGACGGGCCCTGACCAGGACCCAGGGATTGATCCTGCAACTGAGGTACGTGCCCTTGACAGAATCGAACCCGAGACCCTTCAGTCCGTGGGCCGACGCTCCATCCACTGAGCCACACCAGCCAGATGACACCCCCGTTTTTATGACAGGATTTAGGTCGAGAGGGTCTCTGTGTAGCTGCAAAAGCAAACATGCAGCCCCCATCCAGGACAAGGTCCCAGGAGGACGTGTGACCTGAGGGAGGGTCCCTCTCGGCTCAGAGCCTCACAGTCACTTCGCGTCTCAGGAAACTGTAAGTGAAGGATGACAAGTGAACAATGACGTTCACAACGAAACGGTCTTGACGATACCTGTGGCCACGGCAGTAACGAACTTGGACCCAAAGTGCCCGTCCGGGGAGAGCCGGCACATGTTGGGGTGCTTGTTCTGGAAGTCCCCCGCGGTGATGCACTCCTCTGCGCTCAGGAAGTAGGTGTCCTGAGGAGAGAGCAGGTCACAGTGGCCTCCACGCCCCAGGAGACACTGCGGCCTCAACTGCAGGTCGTCGGAAACTGGTCGCAACCAACGCCCACGGCCTCCTGTGAACCAGCACGCCCAGCCGCCCAGCCGAGAGCCCCTCACCTTGTTCCGACTGTATCGGACGGTGCCCTTGCGGGTGTCTTCGGAGACGAGGTCTGTGAATATCCAGCCGACCTGCGGACCACGGACAGAGCTGAGCCTCTCCCGCAGCAGCCAGGCCACACCTGGGCCCCAACCTGCTCAGCTCAAGGCGGCCACCCTCCTGGTGCAAACAAGCCAAACGCACTGACCCGCCAGCCAAGTTCACGCCCAGCCCTGTGCCAAGTGCAGGGACCCCACGGTCAACAAGAGGCACAGACTGTCCGTGGGAACGGCCCTGCGCCGCCGAGAGGAAGCACACGGCCGAGTCCAGGTGCTGCAAGAGCCCCGGCCTGGAGGGGGCAGCACGGGCAGCACCTCGGGGACTGCGGCGGAGGGAGCCCCTGAGGT